GTGCACGCAAAAGGACAAGGAGGAAGAAGGCAAGATGTGGCAGCGGCGGCTAGGTACGCGCTGGCGGCCCTGGGCCTGCCCCTGTGGGCGGGGGGGGGGGGGGGCGGAGGGCGAAGGCCGGGGCTGGCGGGCCCAAGCCCCGGGGGGTCCTTTGGCCCCGCGTGTGGCGGGCTCCGGGTTTTTTTTTGGGTTTGTCCTTTTCCCCGCGCGACTGACGCGCACTCGTGCAACCAGCCATCGGCCTCGGGGTGGGCCTGGGCATCCTGGCATTGGTCTTGGTGGCCGGCGCCGTGGCCGCCTTCTTCATTCTGCGCGGCCGCGGGGCATCCGCCAACAAGGGTGCGTCCGGCTGGCCGGCTGGCCGGGGGGAGGCGGGGGGGCCGGCGAGGGCTGCGATGGCCAGGTGACTGACACTCGGTGGGCCCCTGCTGGGCGACGCGCTGCGACTTTCTTCTCCCGTCCGGGGCGGTGGGGCGCGTCTGCGCAGACGCCTTCCCCATGAGCGCGATCCACGGTGCGTATGCGGAGAGCTCCCCTTCTCCCTGTGCGGCGGGGCGGGGCGGGGCCGGTGGGGGTGGGCCGGGCAGCCTCCGGGTGCGATGTGCTAACAGAGCCATGTGTCCCCTCGCGCCGCGGCGCAGACTGAGTGCATGTCGCGGGGCCGGGCGTTCGCGCGCCACGCGGCAGGGCCACTTGCCGAGCGAGCGCACATGCGGGGGGGCTCCCCGGGCCGCTGGCGCTTTTTGTTCCGAATACACTCGCCGCTCGCATGGGCCGCTGCTGTGGTGCTTTTTTTTGGTCGGCAATCCGACAAGAAGACGGTCTCGCGCGCTGAGGCGACGCGGGGCCAGGGCCGGGGCCGGCCCGTGGTGTGCGGGGGGAGAGCTGCTCGCGGCCATGGGCAGGCGGAGGGAGGGGAGCGGGCACTGCGCCTCGGGGTCTTTTTCGAGAGGTGTCCCACGGTGCGCCGGAGGGGGGAGGGCCGGCGATGCGGGCCTGTGGGAAGAAGAGAAACCCCCACGGCGGGGGGTGGCGGCGCGGTGCGCCGTCGTCCGGGCGGATGGCGCCTGGGCTTCGTGTGGTTTTGTTCTTCCTCCTTTGCGCGGCCCAGGGGGGCAGGAGGCCTCGGACCATGGGCTGGTCTCGCTCCGTCGAGGGGGGGGGGGGGGGGGGGGCAGGGGGAGGGCGAGCAAGAAAGCAGGGC